TTTTTTATAGGAAATTCACAGAATGCAGAAGTTTTAGAACATCATGCAATGAATGACTACTGTCCCCGGAAAATTGGCAAAATGGAAACATGGCTCCGTGCACAAGAGGCCCAGGGACAGCTTCTTTGGGACAGTTCTAGCTCTGACTCAGATGAGTTGGGGAAAGATGAGAAGAAACCACGAGCACTGGTGAGAACAAGAACAGAAAGAATCCCAGTTTTTGATGAGTTTTTTGATCAAGAATAATAATGCTATTATAAGAAGACTATTCACTACCCTAGATACTGAGTGTATTGAAAGTTTGCTTTATGTCAAAATCCTTCAAGCTAATATATGAATTATTTTGAGGAAAGCAATTCACTTTGGCAAAAAGAAATGATATCATCTGGAGTCTTATGGTTAACAACTTTGTCATATATGCTCTTAACTATTGCTGCCTAACTAACTGCCTCAAAATTTAGGGGCTTAAACAACAGCCATTTTATTGTCTCACTTTTCTATTGGGTTGCTGGGCTCAGATAGGTTGTTCTTCCGATGGTCCCTTTTGAAATCTTTCATGCAGTTGAAATAAGATAGCAGGTAGGACTGGAGTCACCTGGAGGCTTGATTAGGACACTGAGATGGCTGGACCTTGCCGCCTCTCCATATAGTCTCAGAGCCTCTTCATATGATCTCTGCAGCAGAGTAGTGAATTTTCTTTCATATCAGCCCAGGACTCCCAAAAACAAATGTCCCAATAGGAGGAAACAGAAGCTTCCAGTCCTCTTAAAGGCTAGTCTTAGAACTGGCTCTGCATCACTTCCACTACATTCTATTGGTTAATGCAAGTCATAGGCCAGATTGCAGTCAGTGCAAAATGGGACTGCATGAACACCAAAGTGTGGTCCATTGGGGTACATCTTTGAGAGTTGCAACCATACCACATTTTTACAAAGCAAATTAGATTATATAAAACAAATAGATGACAGGGTAGATTTGATACAAATAAAAGTGAGTTTTTAAAGAAAAGTCATAGTAATGCTACATTAGACACCAAGATTACTGAGGTCACTTTCTTGTGAGTTAGCCATAAGAGAGAGCTGCAGGATAGAGATGAGATGCCAAGTATGGAAGACTCTTGTGAATTAAAGTTCAAATTAAGACTTCTTAAATTATCATGTAGATTTTAGAGCTCTTTACACTTAAAAGAAATCTTAGAAATGTTCAGTCCAAAAGTTATTTTATTTACAAACATTAGATTTTCAGGCAATTTTTAAGAACTACTTCTGTGTAAAATTCAGCTCCACACTTATCATAATCTAAAAATTTTTGGATTTTTAAAGCAATTTTTAAGCATTCCAGAAACTTCTGAGAATTTAGTGAAACTTTAAAACAAAGCAAAGCAAAAACACCCTTTTAAGCCTTCTCTGGGAAACTTCCAAAAAGAAAAAATAATAGAGGAAAATACCACCTAAATTTTACATTCAGTGCATTCACCAGTCACCAAGAAGAGAAAAAGCCTGAAATGTCCGGAGATAAACACTCATGTTTCTCCCAAGGACGGAAGGCTATTAGTTTGTCCTTGGGCATATCTACTCCCAGTTCTTTGTGAACACTCTTCTTATTTTTTCTGTGGTAGGTAAGAAGCATATCTCCACCAAAGAAATACATAAACTGCCCAGCTAGCATTCTTGAAAAAGTATGATCCTTGAGAGGATGAATGAATCCAACCTATTCATGGTGTCCCCACATTTTATGGTCGATCCAGAAGGCTTAAAATAAAGTGGGAAGGGCAACTCCCAGCCCTGAACATAGTGGAGCCAAAGCACATCTTCATCACTTTGCTCTGTGATTTAAAATCCAACTTCACAAAACCCCCTTCTATAAACTCACTGGACTGTGAGCTACATGAAACATGGACCATGTCTTCTCCCTGTGGTATCTCCACTTTCTAGCATGACATCTGGCACAGAGTTGATCATTAAATGTTTGCTGAATTAATTGATGTATGTGTTAAATCAACTAGTCAATTAGAGAGACACTTGTTTCTCTCCAGCTATGTAGTTACTCACCCTCATTTCCATCATTTCCCAAGAGTCTTAGATATACAAAGTTGATTATACAGTAAAGAAAGGGACTTTTGTCAAAAGCTCTTGGTATTTATATATCTACATAGAATGCCTAAATTAAGCATTGCTTGGGGATATAGGAGCTATACACATATGCCAATGAGGATACCATAGCTCAAAATATTTTTTCAAAATTCTATCAAAGTGTGTTAGCTTCAAAAGAAAACCAGCCCTAATGCCTTCCCTGTTTCAGTTTATTTGCTGGCTCCACGTGGAACTCTTCCTTACATGATTATAAATTCAAGGATTTTTAAGGGCTAATAATGATAGTAGCAACTGCCAATGTGCGCAGGCTGCATATCGGGTACCAAGCACTCTTCAAATGTTTCACATATTTAATCCTCACAACCTTTTTGTGGCTCAGTATTAAAATCATCCCCATCCACAGATGAGAAAACTGAGGTGCAGAGACATTAAGTAACTTGCCAGAGTCACCCAGCAGAACTTCCCTCTGGAGTAGACCATTGTTTACCAGAAGTGACCTGATGGCAGCCGCGCACTCTTCCCTCTTTTCCCCAATCGCCAGCTGTGTTCCACAGCATTCCACATTTCTGCTCTATGGTGTGGTCCTTTTTACACCGCAAATTGTGAGAGCTTTGTGGAATTATGTTTTAGCAAGGAAGAATAGTTTAACTGGTCGTTGAACTGTGAGCACAGGCAGGACAAAAGCACCAAGAAAGGCAAATGAGAGAGTAAAGGCAAACCTAACTGTTTCTGCAACTTGACCCAGGGGCAGCAGCGGTGCGCGGGCCCCACCAGAAAGCCCCATCCAGGGCGGAATTCAGTTGCACTCTGGGACAAGGGCTCAAGGGTAGCGCTTCTCAAAGCTGGCCACACGTTAGAGCCATGTGTTGAATGGTCAAAAAACTAATAACAATCAAGATGTCTGGCCCCACCTTTTGATTTATTTGGGTTGAGGTAGAGCTCTAGCATTGAGTTGGTAGGATTTTTTGTTTTTGCTTTTTTTTTTTTTTTAAGCTTCCTGGTGAGTCTAATGTGCACCTAAGGCTGAAAATCACAGCTCTAGCAATATGAACATTCTATCTTACCAGAATATATTAACTTCCATTTTCGAAAACAACAACTTCTGGGATAATTTTTTGAAATTAAGAACATGAGGCCTGGAGCTCCAGAAAATAGTAAGAGAAATGTTCATTTTGTTAGTAATTGTCTGAGAACACCAATTCTATAGTTAATCTTGAATTTGTTCAGGGCAATGTACGGCCATCATAAACACAGCTGTTGCTTGT